GGTGACCTTCGAGCTGTAGGGTTGTGATCCTTTGGGATCCATAAAATCCTTTTGGGGTCTATGAAATCCTTTGGGATCCATAAAATCCTTTTGGGGTCTATGAAATCTTTTGGGTTCTATGAAATCCTTTGGGGTCCATAAAATCCGTTAGGGGTGTTTAGAACCCTTTGGGGTCTGTAAAATCCTTTTGAGGGTCCATAAAATCCTTTGGGGTCTGTGGAGCCTTTTGGGATCCGGGGAACCTTTGGGGTCTTTGGAATGTGGGGGATCCATAGAACCCTTTGGGATCTGTGGGACTCTTTGGGATCCAGGAGCCCTTTGGGGTCAGTGGGACTCTTTGGGGTCCAGGAGCCCTTTGGGGTCTGTGGGACTCTTTGGGGTCTGTGGGGTCAACAGAACCCATTGGGGTCCATGGAACCCTTTGGGATCTGTGGGACCCTATGGGATCTATGGAACCTTTTGGGATCCACAGACCCCACAGAGCTCCCATGATCCCGGTGTCCAGCTGGGGTCAGTGGGTGACGGTGACCATGACCTGGTTGGGGTCAGTGGGTGACGGTCACCGTGACCCAGTGCCCAGTTGGGGTCAGTTGGGTGACAGCGACCGTGACCTGGTTGGGGTCAGCGGGTGATGGTCACTGTGTCCGGTCAGGGTCAGTGGGTGATGGTCACCGTGACCCAGTTGGGGTCAGTGAGTGATGGTCACCATGCCCAGTGTCCGGCCGGGCTCAGCAGGTGATGGTGACCATGACCCAGTGCCCCGTGTCCGGTGGGGGTCAGCGAGTGACAGTGACCGTGTCCGGTGTCCGGTGGGGGTCAGTGGGTGATGGTGACCATGACCCAGTCAGGGTCAGTGGGTGATGGTCACCGTGCCCGGTGTCCGGCCAGGCTCAGTGGGTGACAGTGACCATGCCCTGGTGTCCAGTCAGGGTCAGTGGGTGACAGTGACCATGCCCAGTGTCCAGCCGAGCTCAGTGAGTGATGGTCACTGTGTCCAGCTGGGCTCAGCGGGTGATGGTGACCATGACCCAGTCACGGTCAATGAGTGATGGTCACCGTGTCCAGTCAGGCTCAGCGAGTGACCGTGACGCTGACCCGGTGCCCGGTGTCCAGTCAGGCTCAGCGGGTGATGGTCACTGTGTCCGGTCAGGCTCAGCGAGTGACAGTGACCATAACCCAGTCAGGGTCAGCGGGTGACGGTCACCATGACCCGGTGCCCGGTGTCCGGCTGGGCTCAGTGGGTGACAGTGACCATGACCCAGTCAGGCTCAGCGGGTGATGGTCACTGTGTCCGGCCGGGCTCAGCGAGTGACAGTGACCATGACCCAGTTGGGGTCAGCGATTGATGGTCACCATGCCCAGTGTCTGGCCAGCCTCAGTGGGTGACCATGACCATAACCCAGTCAGGCTCAGCGAGTGACGGTCACCATGACCCGGTGCCCGGTGCCAATATCTGGTCAGGCTCAGCGGGTGACGGTCACTGTGTCCGGCCGGGCTCAGCGAGTGACAGTGACCATAACCCAGTCAGGCTCAGCGAGTGACCGTGACGCTGACCCGGTGCCTGGTGTCCGGTCAGGCTCAGTGAGTGACCGTCACACTGACCCGGTGCCCGGTGTCCAGTCAGGCTCAGCGAGTGACGGTCACTGTGTCCAGTCAGGCTCAGCGGGTGACCGTGACGCTGACCCGGTGCCCGGTGTCCGGTGGGGCTCAGCGAGTGACCGTCACGCTGACCCGGTGCCCGGTGTCCAGTCAGGCTCAGCGGGTGATGGTCACTGTGTCCGGTCGGGCTCAGTGAGTGACCGTCACGCTGACCCGGTGCCCGGTGTCCGGCTGGGCTCAGTGGGTGACAGTGACCATAACCCAGTCAGGGTCAGCGGGTGACGGTCACCATGACCCGGTGCCCGGTGTCCGGTCAGGCTCAGCGGGTGACCGTCACGCTGACCCGGTGCCCGGTGCCCGGTGTCCAGTCAGGCTCAGCGGGTGATGGTCACTGTGTCCGGCCGGGCTCAGCGGGTGACCGTCACGCTGACCCGGTGCCCGGTGCCCGATGTCCAGTCGGGCTCAGCGGATAACGGTCACTGTGTCCGGTGGGGCTCAGCGAGTGACCGTCACGCTGACCCGGTGCCAGGCGTTGCTCAGGACCCCGCGCAGGTTCCAGATGGGCCCCACGGTGTCCGGTTGGACGTTGTAGCTCCGGTCCACGGCCTTGCAGACGATGTCCAGCTTGGAGCCCGCGGTCACCGGGGCCCGCAKCTCCCACAGCGCCCAGGCCCAGCCCCGGCCCCGCTGCCCGCCCAGCTCGGCCGCTCGCCACGTCCGGCCGCCGTCCAGGGACACGTCCACCTGATGGAATTAATATGGACATTAATTATTTTTNAACGGAGGATCGATAACTAACCCGGGATTGATAACGGAGGATCGATAACCCGGGATTGACAACGGAGGATCGATAACCCGGGATTGATAACCCGGGATTGATAACGGAGGATCGATAACCCGGGATTGATAACGGAGGATCGATAACTAACCCGGGATTGATAACGGAGGATCGATAACCCGGAATTGATAACCGGGATTGATAACCCGGAATTGATTACCGGGATTGATAACGGGGATTGATAATCCGGATCCCATAGGATCAGGGGGTCTCATTTTGGATCAGGGGGTTATTTAGGGTCAGGGGGTCCCATGGGGTCAGGGGGTCTCAGGGTGTCCAGGGGATCCCAAACCCCCCCATTCCACCCCCCCACCCCGCCCTCGCTGCCCCAGGAAGGCTCTGAGACCATGAAAGTTCTCAAATCTTTATGGAGGCACTTTCACACATTGGGGTGTAAAACCCTGGGCCATAAAACCCGGGGCCATAAAACCCTGGAGGCCATAAAAAGAGTGGGGGCCATAAAAAGGATATGGCCATAAAACCCCGGGGCCATAAAACCCTGGTGACCTTCGAGCTGTAGGGTTGTGATCCTTTGGGATCCATAAAATCCTTTTGGGGTCTATGAAATCCTTTGGGATCCGTAAAATCCTTTTGGGGTCTGTAGAATCTCTTGGGGTCAATAGAACTCATCGGGGTCTGCAGAAGCTGGGGGTCATAGGACCCTTTAGGGGCCATAGAACCCTTTGGGGCCTGTGGACACTTTGGGGTCTGTGGAACCTTCTGGGATCCAGGGAACCTTTGGGGTCTTTGGAATGTGGGGGGTCCATAGGACTCAGGGCTCTGTAGGATCCTTTGGGGTCTGTGGGACTCTTTGGGATCCAAAACAATCTTTGGGATCCACAGACCCCGCAGAGCTCCCACGATCCCGGTGCCCGGTTGGGGTCAGCAGGTGACGGTGACCATGACCCAACTGGGCTCAGCGGGTGATGGTCACTGTGTCCGGCTGGGTTCAGCGGGTGACAGTGACCATAACCCGGTCAGGGTCAGCGAGTGACCGTGACGCTGACCCGGTGCCCGGTGCCAATGTCTGGTCAGGCTCAGCGGGTGATGGTGACCATGACCCAGTTGGGGTCAGCGATTGACGGTCACTGTGCCCGGTGTCCGGCCAGGCTCAGCGAGTGACGGTCACGGTGTCCGGTGGGGCTCAGCGGGTGACCGTGACGCTGACCCGGTGCCAGGCGTTGCTCAGGACCCCGCGCAGGTTCCAGATGGGCCCCACGGTGTCCGGTTGGACGTTGTAGCTCCGGTCCACGGCCTTGCAGACGATGTCCAGCTTGGAGCCCGCGGTCACCGGGGCCCGCAGCTCCCACAGCGCCCAGGCCCAGCCCCGGCCCCGCTGCCCGCCCAGCTCGGCCGCTCGCCACGTCCGGCCGCCGTCCAGGGACACGTCCACCTGACGGAATTAATATGGATATCAATTATTTCTATTAATATTAATTATTAAGATGCATATATTATTAATATTAATTATTTCAATGTATTATGATTGTTAATACTGATTATAAGAAAAAATAAATATTTGATTCTTCAAAATTATTAGGAAAGAAATATAGTAATTAATTATATACTATATATAAAATTATTATAAATATTAATGTTGTAAACTACTGTTAATAATTTTAAATTAATGCTTTATATTACTGCTATTAAATTATTAAATTTACCAAAATATTGTTATTGCATAATTTTATATAATTTATTACTCTATATTGTATCTTTTATACCACTACATATTCGCTTTTATCATACACCACCCCACTAACTATTATGGCATTATTGTATAGTGTATAATTATATTAATTGCTATAATTACATACATGGTGCCACCACAATAATCATGATTATGTTATTATATTCCATAGTTATTACATCATTATTTTAGGGGATTTTATTCCACTCACTCTTCCAATCAATTTCCCTCCCGTTCCCCACCAATCCCCCCCTTTTCCCATCACTTCCCAGCACTTTCCCCACCCATTTCCCCCCTTTCCCATAAATTCCCCCTTTTCCGCACCAATTCCCTCTCCTTTTCCCCCTCGCTCACCCTGACCACCTCCCTGCCGCCTCCGCTCCACGCGTAGCCCTTCACCGTCAGCTCCCCCTCGGGCACGGCGGCTCCAGCGCGGGGCTCGGTGATCGCCGACTGCACCGGCAGCTCCTGGATGGCCGGAGCCGCCCGGAAATCCACCGTGTCCCAATCCACGGACGGACAGAACCCTTTATAATCRTTCTGCTGCCAATGGCTCTGACTCTCCCTCGGCGACACCTCCACGCTGCGAAGCCACTTCACGCTCCGAGCCCCGACCACGCCGGGCACCACCACCCGCACCGGGAATCCGTGATCCCGGGGCAGCTCCTGCCCGTTCATCTCGTAAGCCAGCAGCACCTCGGCCTCGGCGCTGACCGCCCGCTCGAACGGGATGGACGCTCCGTAGCGAGAGCCCGAAGGGTCCGCGTCCAAACCTTCGAAACAAACGTGCCACTCGCCCTCGCCGGGATTTTCCGCCAAACCGGCGTGGAGCAGCACGTCCCGGAGCCGCGCCCCGGCCCAGCGGGCGGTGCTGATGGCACCGATGTCCCACGGTAGCCCCTTGACCGGGCGGACGCGGCTCATCTCGGAGCGCCGGTTCCCCGCGCATTGCAGCGTGGCCGTCACCTCGTGTTTGGGGAAGCGAGCGCGSAGCTCCGACAGCGACAGCGACAACGCGCGGCCGCCGGGACCCTGGACGCGGAGCCGGTACGAGGCCGGGTCCACGGTGGGCACCGGGAGGTGGTTACGGGTGAARAAAAGCTCGTTGGGGGTCAGGAAACTTTGGGTTAAAAGCTCCGGCGGGGGTTCGGCGTTAAAAGGCTTCAGGCTGTTCACCCGCAGCGCCGGGTGCCGGGGGGGGTCACCGGAGAACGGATCCTCCTCGCCGGTGGCCCCCGGTGGCGGCGCCGCGGCGTCCTCGGGGCTCAGCTCGCCCACTTTGTAGTCGCGGAGCAGCTCCAGCACGTGGGGCTGGCTGTGAACGGCGTAAAGAGCCCAAAAAGGCTCCAGAGCCCCGCCGGCCGCCAGCAGCAGCTTGTCCGGTCCCCCCGGGTGCAGCTCCACGAAATCGGTGACATCGAACACGTCGGTGCCGTGCGTGACCCACACGCGGTCCTGCGGGGTGCGGTGGCGCGACACCTCGGCCCGGGTGTAGCGCGGGTACTGCGGGGGAGGGGTGGCCTGGGCGGCCTGGGCGCTCTGCGGGGCAGGGGGTGGTGGTCAGCGGGACTGCCCATCGCCCCCCGAGCCACCGGGGAGCCACCCCGAAACCCCGGGGAGCCACCCCGAAACACCCCCGGGCCACCGGGGATCAGTCTCGGGCTACTGGAGAGCCATCTTGAAACCCCCCCGGGCCACCGGGGATCGGTCCTGGGCCACCGGAGAGCCATCCCGAAACCACGGGAAGTCACCTCGAGCCACCGGGGAGTCACCCCGAAGCCCCTCCGAGCCACCGGAGATCCCGGCAGGACCCGGCCGTGTCCCCCCCGGCGCTCTGCGGGACACCGGGCACCGGTCAGAGGGCACCGCCCACCCTCCGGGGCCGCCCGGGGTTCACCCCTCCGGTGCCACCTCCTCCCCGGGTCCCCGTGTCCAGGTGTCACCCGTTTCCCGGGATCCCGCAGTCCCGGTGCCAGCCCTGTCCGGTGCCACTCTTTCCCTGTCCCGCTGTCCCCGTGTCACCTCTCACCGGGATCCGCCCCCCCGGGTTCCGCCTCCCTCCGTGCCCCAACCCCGCCCTCGGTGTCCCCGTCCCGGGGAAGGACCCGGAGGTGTCACCGACCCCTCCCCACCCCCATCCCGGTGCCACCCTCCTGGTGTCACTCCGCTGCCACCCCCGGTAATGTCACCGCCCCCGGTGTCGCTCACCCTGCGCCGCCGCTCCCCGTAGGCCAGCGCGGCCCCGAGCCCCAGCAGCGCCGCCAGCACCGGGGCCGTTCCCCGGTGTCCCCTCGGGGCCGCGCTACCGGCGGTCGGGCGGGAGCAGCCGCGGCGGAGCTGCGTCAGCGGCGGGAGCCTGCGGGGACAGCGCGGGGTCACGGCGGGGACAGCGCGGGGAAATCACGGGGACACCGCGGGGACATCACGGGGACACCCGCTCGTACCTGCGGCCGCTCAGGGCCCGGAGCAGCAGCATCGCGGCGGCGGCGGCGGGGATGGGAGAGCGCGGCTGGGGCGGGCACCGGGCACCGGCACCGGGAAACGGCCCCGGGGACGCTGCAGGGGAAGGGACAATCGGGGACCTCTGCGTGCGACACAAGCGCGTCCCCACCGCACTGCCCGGTTCCGGTTCGGCCCCCCCAGCCCGGTCTCGGTCCCGGTCCCGGTTCGGCTCCCGCAGCTCCAGACCGGTCCCGGTTCGTCTCCCGCAGCCCGGTCCCGCTTTTTCTACCCAACCCCATCCCGATCCCGGTTGTCCCCAACCCCATTCCGGTCCCGGTTCTTCCCTCCCCCGTCCCATCCCGGTGACGATTCTGCCCTTCCAGCCCCATCCCGGTTCCCGTTGCGTCCCCCCAACCCCACCCGGTCCCGGTTGTACCCAAGGCCGGAGGGGACCAAGTTGTTTTTCCCCCAACCCCACCCGCTCCCGTTTGTTTTCCCCTCAGCCCCATCCCGATCCCGGTTCTCCCCTTCCCAGCCCTATCCCGCTCCCGGTTGTCCCCTCCCCATCCCGATCCCGGTGGTCCCCAACCCCACTCGGTCCCGGTTGTCCCCACCGCAGGCCCAGCCCGGTCCCGGTTGTCCCCAACCCCACCCCGCTCCCGTTTGTTTTCCCCTCAGCCCTATCCCGGTCCCGCTTCTCTGTCCCCTCAGCCCGGTCCCGGTCCCGGTTGTCGCCGCCGCGCACCTGCGTAACGGTTCCGGTCCCGCGATGTCCCTGCGGGCGCGGCCGCTTTAAGAGGGGGGCGATGGGCGTGGCCTCGGGAAGGCGCGCCGCCGCTGGCCACGCCCCTCTRTTTACTTTAGCGGGGCTCCAGTGGGCGTGGCCTCTGCCACGGTGGACCCCACCAGCGTCGCCTTAAAGGGGCAACACCACCCACAGCACCCGGGGGGTCTTAAAGCGGCCGCGYGGCTTTAAAGGGGCAACGCCGCTCCCGGATTTCCCGGTGAGAATTGGGAGAAAAATGATAAAAAACGGTAAAAAAAGGTAAAGAAAGGTGAAAAACAGGAGCCGCTCCCCAGCTGCGAGCTCCGATAAGCGTTATCAGGGCAGGGCCGCGATCTCGCACCCGGCTGCTGGCACCGCGTTGTCGCCGCGTCCCCTCCCCCCGCCCTGAGCACACAAAACTTGGGAATTTTTTTTCCTTATTTTTTTTTCCTTAATTTTTTTTTCTCAGTTTTTTTGGTCGTTTTCGGTTTTTTGTGGGTTTTTTTGTTTTTTTTTTTTTCTTACTTTACATTAAATACATCGGTAAATCAGCGACCGAGTTTTGTGGTTACCACGATTTGTTATTTCACCCGCGGAAAGGAAGCAGCTTCCCCCCCCGAAAAAGCGAGAAAAACAAAATTAAAATAAAATAAAATGAAATAAAATGAAATAAAATGAAATAAAATGAAAGGAAATAAAATAAAATGAAATAAAGTGAAATAGAAGGAGAAGAAGAGAAAAAAGGTGGGGTAAAAAATAAAATAAATGGACAAAAAAAGAGAGAAAAAGGAGCTGCGGTGTCCCCGTTTGGTCCAGGATCGGGACATGGGGGGGGACAGCGATGTCGCCGATGTCGCCGATCCCGGAGGGTCCCCGGGGTGTCCCCGGGGGGGGGAGGGGAAGGTGGGGGAGGGGCCGGGGTCCTGCGGGCTCTGCCCCCCCCGGGGGCTTCATACGGGACCGGCTCCCTCTGCCCCACGGCCGTCACCCTCCCCCAATCCGGGGTGTCCCCAAGTCGGGGTGTCCCCAATTTCGAGGTGTCCTCAATTTGGGACATCCCTAATTCGGGGTGTCCCCGCCCTGGGGTGTCCCAATTTTGGGTGTCACCAATTCGAGGTGTCCCCAGTTCGGGGTGTCCCAACTCTGGGTGTCCCCAATTTTGGGTGTCCCCGATTTTGGGGTGTTGCCCTCCTCGAGCAGAGGTGACCCCTGGCCAGGGTGAGGGAGGGGACACTGAGAGGGTCCCTGCGGCTCCAAAGGGACCGGGACAGGGACAGAGGGCAGGGGGGTGGCACTGCTGTCCCCTGGGTGTCCCCTGGGTGTCCCCTGGTGTCACCCCCCCAGAGGGGACATTTGACCATAAAGTGCAAACGGGGATGGCCCCGGGATGGGGACAAACTGGGGGGTGGCACTGGGAGGAGACAGTGGAGGTGGCACCAGGGGATGAGGGGACATTGGGGCCACCACTGGGACCACCTGGGGACACTGTGGGACCATTGGGATCACCAGGGGGACATCGGGGCCATGGCTGTGACCACCTGGGGACACTGGGGCCACTACTGGGACCAACTGGGGGACATCGCTGGGGGCCAGGATCACCTTGAGGACATTGTGGCCACCACTGGGGTCACCATGGGGACATTGGAGCCACCACTGGGACCGTCTGGGGGACATCAATGTGGGGTAACCATAGTCAGGGCCACCACGGGGACATCACCCAGGGTCCCCTCAGGGTCCCCAAATGTCCCCACAGGCACTTCCAACCCCTCCCAGCCACTCAAGGCCACTGGGGAGGGGACACGGGGACACCGCAGCTCCGTCCCCTCCCCCCGATGGGAACTGGGACAAAAATCGGGCAGCAAAATGGAAAAAAAAATGGAAAAAAAACCGGGAAAAAACCTGGGAAAACGGCGCAGAAAAATCTGTCCCAAGGCTCTGGTGCTCCCTGTGGGCTGCCCGGATCCACTCGGGATCCATTTGGGATCAATTTGGGATCCTTTTGGGGTCAGGGGGATCCGAGGATCCATCCCGAGGGGATCCCAAAGGGACCGGGGGAATCCTTGGGAGGTCTTGGGGGATCCTCGGGGGTCTCAGGGGATCCTTGGGCATCCTCAGGGGATCCTTGGGGGTCTCAGGGGGGTCCTCTGGGGTCTAGTCCTGGCTGAGCCAGCCCCGCTGCTCTGGGAATGGGATCAGGAGGATCCAGTGGGATCTGGTGGGGCTGAGTGGAATCGGGAGGATCCACGAGGAATTTGGAGGATCCAGATGGGATCTGGTGAGGCTGAGCGGGATCAGGAGGATCCAGGAGGAATCTGGTGGGTCCTGCATGGATCTGGTGAAGCTGAATGGGATCTGGAGGATCCTGGAGGAATTTGGATGATCCAGGTGGGATCTGGTGAGGCTGAGCGGGATCGGGAGGATCCTGGAGGAATTTGGATGATCCAGGTGGGATCTGGTGAGGCTGAGCGGGATCAGGAGGATCCAGGAGGAATCTGGTGGGTCCTGGATGGATCTGGTGAAGCTGAACGGGATCTGGAGGATCCTGGAGAAATTTGGATGATCCAGGCGGGATCCGGTGAATCCAGGCGGGATCTGGATGATCCAGGAGGAGTTTGGAGAATCCAGAAGAGATCTGGTGGGTCCTGGAGGGATTTGGAGAATCCATGTGGGATCTGGTGGATCCAGGTGGAGCTGAGTGGGATCTGGTGGATCCAGGAGACATTTTGAGGATTCTGGAGGAAATCCAGGTGGGATCTGGTGGAGCCTGTAGAGATTTGAGTGATCCAGGAGAAACCTGGAGGATCCAAGAAGGATCTGGAGGATCCAGGAGGGATCTGGTGCCAAGAGGGAGCCTTGGATGCTCCAGAAAGTGCCAGAAAGGAGCTCAGGGAAGGATCTGGAGCTGGGATCTGGCTGGGATCTGTTTGAGATCCTGGATGGGATCTGGGTTGGGATCTGGGCTGGAATCCCAGCTGGATCCTGGGTGTTCCCTGTCTCCTCCCCATCCAATTCCATCCGTTCCCTGTCAGATCCCAATAGATCCCATCCCATTCCCGGCCAATCCCGTTTGTCCCCATCCAATCCCACTGGATCCCGCTGGATCCAATCAGTTGCTGCAGCACTGGCCCCAGCTGTTCTCCAGTGGATCCCAGTTGTTCCCAGTCTGTTCCCAGCAGTTTCTGGCTGTTCCCTGTCCAATCCTGTCAGATCCTGGCTGTTCCTCAGTGGATCCCATCCGTTCCCATTTCCTCCCCATTGGATCCGGTGGATTCTGTCAGTTCCCCATCCGATTTCACTGGATTCCATCATTCCCAGTCACTTTCCCATCCAATCCTGTCAGATCCCAGTGGATGTCAGCTCCCCGCTGGATCCCAGTGGTGGATCCCAAGAGATCCTGGTTGTTTCCCATCAGTTCTTTGTCTCTTTCTGGTCTGCTTCTTGGTGGATCCCAGTCTGTTCCCAGTGGATCCCAGTGGATCCCAGTGGATCCCATCAGTTCCCCATCTCTTTCCAGTCCGTTCTCCAGTAGATCCTGGTCTGTTCCCTGGTCTGTTCCACAGCGGATCCTGGTGGATCCCAGTCTGTTCCCCGTCCGTTCCCGGTGGATCCCAGTTCGTTCCTGGTGCATCCTGGTGGATCCCAGTCCATTCCTGGTGGATCCTGGTCCATTCCCAGTCCATTCCTGCTGAATCCCAGTCCATTCCTGGTCCATTCCCGGTGGATCCCAGTCCGTTCCCACTCCATTCCCCAGTGGATCCCAGTCCACTCCCAGACCAATCCCGGTGCATCCCAGTCCATTCCCGGCGGATCCTGCTGGATCCCATCCATTCCCAGTGGATCCCGGTGCATCCCAGTCCGTTCCTGGTGGATCGTGCTGGATCCCATCCATTCCCAGTGGATCCCGGTGCATCCCAGTCCGTTCCCAGTCCGTTCCTGGTGGATCGTGCTGGATCCCATCCATTCCCAGTGGATCCCAGTGCATCCCAGTCCGTTCCCAGTCCGTTCCTGGTGGATCGTGCTGGATCCCAGTCCGTTCCTGGTGGATCCCGGTGCATCCCAGTCCTTTCCCAGTCCGTTCCCGGTAGATCCCAGTCCATTCCCGGTGGATCCCGCTGCCGTTTCCCATCAGTTGCTGCAGCACCGGCCCCGGCTGTTCCCCAACAGTTCCCAACCATTCCTGGTCCATTCCCCAGTGGATCCCAGTCCATTCCCAGTCCATTCCCAGTGGATCCCAGTGGATCCCGCGGCCGTTCCCCATCAGTTGCTGCAGCACTGGCCCCGGCTCTGCGGGCTCTGCTCGTGCAGGTCCACGCCCCGGCCCCGGCCCCCGGCCCCGCCCGAGCTCTGCGGCTCCGTCTTTGGCAGCTTCTTGGCTGGAGGAGGAAAACGGGATTTAGGATTTGGAGTCAGGATTTCCAGATTTTGGATTTAGGATTGGGATTTGGGGCCGGGATTAAGGGTCAGGATTCGGGATTTGGAGTCGGGATTTGTAAGTTGGGAGTTGGGGTTTAGGGGTAGGATTTAGGGTTGGGATTTGGAGTCCAGATTTGGGGCTGGGAATGGAGCCCCAGCCTGCCCCAAATCCCAGGATGGGGCTGGAAAAGCCCCCAAACCCCTCAGAACCCCCTGAGATCCCTCAAAGACCCCCTGAGACCCCTTAAAACCCTCCCAAAACCCTCCCAATCCCCCTTTTTTATGAAGGAGCCGCTTCGCCTTCACTGCTGCCGTATCCCACTCCCAAAATTCCTGTTGAGAACAGAGAAAATTCTCTCAAAATCCCCCCAAGCCCCACAAAACTCATCCCAAACACCCCAAAATCTCCATGAGACCCCCAAAATCTCCCTGAGCCACCCCAAAATCCCCCTGAGCCATTTCCCCTTCACCACTCCCGTGTCCCCCTCCTAAAATTCTCACTGGGAACGGGGAAAATTCCCTCAAAATCCCCACAAATGCCACAAAACTCATCCCAAACACCCCAAAATTCACCCCAAACCCCCCAAAAATCCCTCAAGACCCCCCAAAATCCCCTCACCGATGGCCAGGAAGAGGTCATTGACGTTCA